TTTTAAAGGGGCTGTTTTGTTTGCCCAAGTTGGGTAGATCTGGAGGGACGGTCCTTCTGTTCAGTTGATTTTTATTTCACGTTTGAGTGGCTGAATGTGAAAATAATCCCTGTGGGGTCTCGGGGTGGGGGGAAAGAGGAGAATCCGGCGTCTTACTGATGGGAGAGGCAGAGGGGCTCAGACCTGGCTGGTCATCATCGAAGAGCGTGGTTCCTCTCCCAAAGAGCTGCCCCCTTCGCTTGGGAGGTTGTTTCATGGAGGTGCAATAGTGTTATTATTTAATTTTTATTTTTTAATGGCTGCACGGTTGTGTTTTCAGTTCACTGAAGATTTTCCTGCAGCGTTGTGGTCGTTGACGGGGACGTCCTGCTTGCGGCGTGTGTCGGGTGTCGATGCTGCTAATTTTGCTAATTGACTTGATGTTTGGGTTAGGGTTTTTTTTTCCATCGTGGTGCCGAGCTCTGGCACCTTCAGTTGGGTTTCCCTGGCGATTTTGAGCGTTGGGTGTGATTTAAAAGGCAGTGAGGTCCTTGGTGTATCTCTGCTGACACGGCCTTAATAAAGAAGGCGAGGATTTTCTAGGATTCCCATGGACAAACATAATCTGCTGCAGGAGGTAAATATCGGGATAAACATAGCGCTCCTTACCTTTGGAACTCAATCAGAGCCTTATGAAACAGAGAGGAGGAGGAGGATGTTTTTATTTTTTTTTTTCCATGTAACAAAAATGCATTAATTATTTCCTGTATCAGTTTAGATCAGAAGAACAGGAATTACCTGTGCTTTCACCCGATCTCCCCATGGTGATTTCAATGTCTCAGAAGGAAAGTGTTGGAGGGGAGGGGAGGCAGTGGTCTCTCTGCAGGGTGAGGAGGGAGGGGACAAGGACTTTTCTCAGCCTTTTTCAACACACCGTATGTTCCCAAAGCCTTGACACTCCTTCAGCCAGCGAAGCTCCGAGGGTACAGCTTGTGTCTGCGGTGACGCGCTGCCGACTGCCCGGGTGCTCCGTGTGAGCGGGTGTGATGCTGTCACTTGACAGCGTTTGATTTTGGTTTTTATTTGTTATCATTATTAATTTATTTTTTATTCGGGAAGCGGTAAAACATCTCTGTTCTGCCGCCCCGTTTTGCTGCTCGTCGAGGCGATGTTTGAGCTGAGGGGAGGCAGGCTGGCAGGTACGGGTGGAAGCCAACTGCAATTACAAATCCCTTCGTTAGCGATCAAAGCGTTGCTGCGGTGGGGTAGCTCGTGGGCTTCCAGCCGCCGGGATGTTGGGGCTGCTGCGTGGGCTTTGATGTGTTGATGGGTGGATGATGATGATGATGATGGGGATATCAGGAATGTGTTGGCGTGTAACGCGCTGGAATCAAACGGGATGTGCAGGAGGGTTGGTGATGGGAGGTGGTGGCTCCATGATGGGTTTTCACCGGGGCATTATATAGTGTCTCAAAGGAATCTTGGATTTTTGGGTGTCAGTGAGTAACCCTCTGGCTCTTTCTCCTCTGGGGAAGTCGGTGGAGGTGTTGGTTGTGTGTCCACAGCACCTGGGCGGGAGTTTCTCATCGCACACCTTTCCTTGATGTGCTCTCTAATGAGGGGCTGTTTGATGAGAACCTCTTCACTTGAGGGCACCGTGAGGGTACCCGTCCTGCTGCAGAGCAGGCTTTTCTTCAGCCACATCCCATCCTTCTCTTGGAAAAACCATCCTTTTCTTGGTTCTGCTTGGAGATGCTGTGGATGGGGAGAGCTCTGAGCTTTTTCCAGCTGCCCAGGCCAGGGGATTGCCTGGAATAGAGAAGCCCGGCTGGATTGGGAAGCAAAGTGGGTGCTTCCCACCCCACGGGGGGCAGAGGCGTGTGTGGGTCTGGGCTCTCCTCGGGTGCTGGCTCTGCCTGGACTTGCTCCTCTCCCTGAAGCTGCTTTTGCCTTCCTGGCAA